CATTCCTGCAAAGGGTAGGGGTCGTAGGTGGATAAAAAACGCGACTTACCCGGAATAGGAGAGTCCAACACATAGGGAAAAGTGGGAATACTTAGGAAGGCGGCACACGTGCGATAGTATCGCATTATTTTCGCTTCTCTAAGTGTACAAAAAAGCAAGGGGAACTAAGGAAATTCGCACAACAGGAAGCTGTAATTGGCCAGGAGCACTCGAGCAAACAGCAAACATCGCCAAAGCAACCGTCTGCGGAGGGGAATAGCTGCTTTATTGGAACGGCAGCTGTTGCCCGATAAGGTGGCACCCAGACTTCAGACACCAGGCTTCAGAACAAGGTCCCGTATACCGTACCCCATATTCCATATTCCGTATCCCATATCCCATATGCGAAGACCCAGCACAATGCCAACTGATTGCCGTCTTGCGTGTTGGCTTCCCCTCGAATTTCCACCCGAGCCTTATTAATTATGACGGGACATGAATTGATAATGGCCAGAGCTCAGCCCCCGAGGAACTGCCGATGAGCAGCGATAGATAAGCGCTGTCCGGGAGGAGGGCTTCCTCAATGACTGCGCTTGATTGGGTTTGGAGTCGTCGGAATCGGGTCTGGGATCCGAGTCGGGACTGCAATTGGGGTAATGGACTGGTAATGGCGCCCAAGCCAAATGAGGCGTAATTACGGAGTTTACGGATCGCTTGAAAAACGCACGATCCAGAGGAAGTGGACTGGCCCAGAAGCTTTTTTTAATGATGAGACAGGATGAATCTGCCTTCAGTTACTTTTGTATTTATCAGGCGCACAAACTAAAAAAAGCGCCAGATCAAACTAATGTTGGCATATCCCTTCCCTTTAATTTTCTTTACTTTTTGTCGGGAATGCACTATAATCTATTATATTTGACTTTCGGATCACTTGAACAAGTTTTAGTTGGCAACAGCAGAAAATTTGTTCCTCCAGACGAAGCACACTACCCAAGTTTTGCAAGTCAGATGAAATATATTTAAAATGCATACTTTCCTTAAAAAATCTAACCTGTACAATTGAGTTCAAGTCATAGCATAAAAACCCTTAATCTATATTCAACATTGTATATAAAAGGAGATAAATCGATGGCCTCGTAGCTAGAATGAGTAGCATTAGCATTAGTTTTATAAACTATACTATCATCACTAATAAATAAATAAATAAAATACATTCTTTCTGAGAAACATTTCACACATTAATTGGGAAACACCATGAAGTATTATCGAACAATATAAAATATATCGAAAATATATAAAAAATATAAAATTAAGCCCAGCGATTTGTATATATAGACAGGGGTGAGCCTTTTCCGCTACGAGAATCAACGAGATGGCCTGCATGCCCCTTTTTGCCCCCCAATGAGCATTCAGTTGCAGACATGTAAATATCATAAAACGGTGTACAAATAAATCAAATCACGGTGCAGGGCGCTGAGAACAAAACAGCCCGCATCAGGCGGCAACAAATACACATGTTCCGATGTGTTCGAAAAACTGTGGCATCGTCATAACCTCCCCACTCCCCTGAAAATGCCCATCCGCCAGCTATTAGTCAGCCAAAGTTCAACAAACACAAACCAAAAACTAGCAGGGAGTGCCGGAGGAACTCACTAAAACTACATAACTTGAAATCAAATAAAGCGCCTTTCTGTCCGTCTGCTTGACAGAGTGAACGCAATCAAAACTCGCACCTCAGATACGGCCATTGATACACTACAGATACAGATACGTGCATAGGCGGACTGGGATACAGCTACAGTTGGATTCCTTCCTAGGCAATGCCCTTTGATGTAGGCCCTTTGATATTAATAGCCTGAAAAAACGGCGGAGTGTGAAGTATTCTGATGCCAGGGGAATGGGACTCAAACACGAAAGCAATTGAAAGCGAGAAAAGCAAAGCTGCGCCACATTTGCATAATCAGATTTAATAAAGGAATCACTTGATTGATCCGAAAAGGGGTGTTAAATTAAAGGCACACCAATAATATGGGATAATACATAATAATATAAAACGGGAGGAAATGAAATGAAATATTACAATTCATTGCCAATGCAGGAAAGTATTCACATCATTTCACATATTTGCACATATCTTAAGGTGGCGTTGCAGCAAAAGGGTAGCGATGGGTTGCCATTCCCTAGGTGAGATCGACAGCAGCTGGCTTCATTCTGGGACTCCGCTCCATTCAGTGCCTCCGTGGCTACGTGGCAGTTCCCTTGGCCAACTTCAAAAGCCGTCCGAGTGGCGGCTGCCACTTTTCAAGAGTGCGAAATTAAAACAAAATGTTGCAAGATGCTGTGGGCAGTGGACGTCCAACTCCACCATCTCCTCCGACTTCGACTTCTGGGCCGTTTGATTTCTCTGGGCTGATAAGCCGAGTTGCCGGGGCTCCTCACATCATGCGTAAAACGGCGTCCAAATGCAAATGCCACGCAGGAAACAGCCGGCGAGCTTGCCCCTTTCTCCCCATTTCCCTCCTACTGGCCGCAGCGTAAATAAACATTTTGCGACTGAATTTATGTTGCAAGGTTTGTTGCTGTGTGCATTTTATTGCAAATTCGCCCCGGGCCACATTGCAGAATTTATCATCAACGGCGAACTAAATGGGCCAAATGGGCCAAATGGGCCGGGGGGGGCAACATCATCGCCAGCAAATAAGTTTTTCGCCCTTGTGAACTACGTAGATTTATGCAGCCGGGCACAGCATTTTAGAAAATATCGGAGGAATTATTGTGTACTTAAGACCTATACTTTTTCGGTGATCGAAGACCATGAAAAAACACTGAGCAGCGATCGAAAAGTAATGACATAAAAATGAGAGGCTACACAGTAAGCCAACACGAACTTATAGCTATAAACGTCTTTTAAGTAATGGCATTAGCAAGCTCGTCTGGCTTAAAAGAATTAATTAGTATGAGGACTTTAATTACCGCTCTCCAGAGCGGGCTTCCTTCCTCTTTTAGGGGTTCCTTTTAGAAGTAGGAAACTAATGGTTCCATATAAACCTTGTGAATCGGAGATACGTTTAAGCACTGACCAAATATGGGCACCTCTATGCAATGCTGAGATGGGTTCTGGTCAGAAATGTATCTCTGGCGAATAGCTATGTATAAGTATAACGTTCTGTAAGAACGATAGCCGGCGGTGGCTGAATGAAAATCATTCGAAATGAAACCTTCAGAGCCGTGCCCCAATTAGTCGTGGCACTTCAGCTCTACATGCCCCAACTTCTCCACCTGTTTCTGCCCCGGCAGAGTGCAACTCCAGCAGGCTGCACTCGCTTAAAAGTTAAATGTGAAAATAATGCAAATTAATGCGGAGGCAGCGCTTTGTTACCCGCTGACGACGAACAACAACCGGGCAGCCTGTTTGGACAATTGCGCTGGAACAGGCCGGCTTCCCGGATCCCTGGCTACGGACAAGGACAACGTCGGCTACATGTTAATTACTTGTGAAAATATGCAACAGACGGCAACAACAAGGCCAGTTGCCAAGGGGCGGGCTTTTCACACCAACCCGAATCGGCAGGTCGCTTGTTTTCGGATCGGAACGCGGATAGTATAGCCTCTCCTACTCCTCCTTTGCTTTCTGCTGACGAGTGCCCTTCAAACTGAACCTGCCTTTCTCCGTCCCAAAGGGCCAACTGTTCGCCGGGTCCTCCGCTTCCGTTTCCAATTCGGAGGGCTTGGCGTGTGTGCGGGCATACTAATTACAAGGGCAACGTGCACTCAGAGAAACGGTTCCACTTACATCTTGCATTTACCATTTCCTCATGGGCATCACAAAGTTGGTCTGACTTTTGGTCTAAAACATCATGAAAGTATCACCTCCATTATCACTAAAGGAAGACGAAAATGAGTTATTTTTTGGCCAAATACCAGTTTTCTAAGCAAATAGGTCTCGACGACAAAGAGTAAGCGAACGATGAGAAGACGAAGAATTTAAAATAATATTTATATTATTTTTTAATAATTATGTAAATCGATTTCTTTTACATGGACAACTTATTGAAATAATTTGAACTATTTTACCAGCTATTCTTTTATTATTTATTGCTTGAATGGTTGGACGAAATATTAACAGTTTCATTTAAAATTATTATAGAATTGATTATAGAATTACACAGTGTCAATAGTGGTTTCAGTTAGTAGTTTGTTATATTTCTGTCTGTCCTGTAGTCATCATCAAAAGGCGGGAAGCCAATGGCAGTTTTGAAAACTCCTTGAATTTAAATTCACTGAGAAGTCGTGCTCAATATCCAAAAGCTGGTATCTGGTATCTTTTTCCGGTAGCATAGAAGGAAATTATTTTTTCGGGTGCAGGACCGTCAGCTACAAAAGCAAGCAACCCCGACGTGCCGCACTGGATGTGGATCTTTAATCGCTTTCCTCGAAGCGGCTTTTTGTGCGGCAAACTCATTAAGCGAAACCGAAAACCAGAAACAACTTCAAATCACACATCGTTTCTTTCTTCTTTCTCTGCGCCCCTCTGTGTATTTTGTTATTTTTTATTATAGTACATTTCGGGACTGCCGGTCGTGTATTTTTCGCCCGGGCCTAATTGCTTTTTATGACAGTCGAGTGAATATGATAAATCTTTGGCCGTGGCCGGCATTATTTCGACATTTGTTTGGCTAGCAACATTCTTGGCAATTAAATGTATGCTCGTATTTCGTTTGTAGTTGCTCGATAATAATGCTTGACATGTGTTCCTGGATGGCGGGCCCACCACCTTTCAGTCCTCCAGCCCTCCAGCGCTCCATCAGTTCAGAGGAGCGTCCAAAAGTGTCAGCTGTGCATGGCTGACAATCTTGGGCACTTTTGCCAGAAGACGTAGCTCGCAATTCCATAACTTTGTAGGTCGAGTGAGGAAAAGCCGCACTTTCTGCAAGAGGGAACTACCCCAAGACAAACATGGCACCGAATAAACCCACTGAAGCGAACTCAGCCGTATTGATCTGAAACCATTTCTCTTTCAGCGTGTCTATAGCACTTTTGTGGAAGTGAAACTGCCTCTGACATTCGAAAAGATTATCACACGAGAGCGTCGAAAATGTTCCGCAACTTCGTCAATATTACAAGCAAATACAAAGTCCTCCGCGGCATGATATCGTATGGCACCCTCTGGCCCTGTGGCTCCCTCATCGAACAGACCATGATCGAGAAGAAGACATTCCGAACGTACGACTGGATGAAGTGTCTCAGGTGATGACGATGTGCCGCGCATCTTCGATTGCTGCGTTTCCAATTCCAATTTCAATTCCAATCCATTACAGGTTCAGTTTATTCGGCTTCTTCTTCATGGGGCCCACCATTTATGTGTGGATCAGATTGGCGGGCGTTATGTGGCCGCGTACCGACATTAAGTCATCGCTCTGCAAGGCGATCACCGAGCAGACCGCCTACGATCCGATGGCCATCAGCTCGTTCCTCTTCTTCATGACCTTGATGGAGGGCAACTCGTACGCGGAGGCCAAGCGGGAGGTGAGTAACTTCCCATTCCGATCCTTAGCCCAACGAATTCCCTTCCATTTCCAAGAACTTCATTGTGTAGGGGCTAGCGAGATCTATTTCATACAAATGACGTTATTACTCGGGACCCCAAGTCCTGCATTCACTTTTAACGATTTCCTTTAGCTTTACTTTTAAATAAAATATTGACTGTTTGTATTGATTTGGCCAAGCAGCCCGATGTGCTCATTACTACATGTGCGCCCAGTATGCATTGCTATTTATTTGGAAATCGGGCCTCGGTCTCTTGTTTCTGATTTCGGAATCCATTTTCTCACGACACATCCAGCAGTCCCCATCTTTGTATCTGTTTCTATGAATCTGCATCTGAGACGGGCACAGAGGCTGCAATGTAAGCATGCATAAATATCACCTGTCTGTCGCTCACCTCCATCCGTTCCCAATTTTTGCGCCTGGTCCTCCGTTCCGAGCTGTCAACATTGATTTGTTGGCTCTGCGGCCATACTGCGAGATACTTTCAGGCACTGTGCTCCAGGGCCATGCTCGGTTCGATGGCTGACTTCCATATCATTAGAAACCATTTATCTTGATAAATGTAAATGTTTTACCATATATTTGTGTCAAGCGTGCGTCGTCTCATTTGCTTTGCTTGCGTGCTCCAAAGATAGATAGCTCGACTTTTCTGAGCGATTTGGTCGAGATAGGCTCAACCAAAGAGTTAGGCCGTAAAAGAGTTGTGTGCGTGGCCGATAGAGACGTTGGTCTCTGGACCCTCACCTAAAAGTTTCAAATCGGGAGCGAGTCAAAGGCAGAACCAGTCACAAAATCGCTCTTAGACCAAATATTCCTTATTTTATGTACATGTAGATCCACAAGAAGGTTCTTAATATAACATTACATCCATTTTATAGGCATTGTTCGTCTTTGAAAAATAAATCATTAGTTAGAAGCATAACAAAATGGTTTGAATTAACATTTTACCGAATTACCCTTCTACATATATTAGATACTTTAATTCTCTGTTTGTTAGCTTAGGAAAACACTAGCTTGCTTTCATCCAATTCGAAGTTTTTACACAATTATCATTTATTCACGCATTAAAACCATCGCTAAATAATTTGATATGCAAATTCGCTGACACTTATGTACAAGGATAGTCTTGGTAGTTTTTTGCAAATTTCCTTGCCAGTGAAAAATGTGCCAAAAAATTTGCAATATCGTGTGCAAATTTAAACACAGTTTGCGCGTGGATGATAATTTTTCGAGCCAGGCGCTGCCTTTTAATTAACAACATTAACCGAATGCCACGCCCCAGTCTAGCGCCCCTCAAATGAGGAGGGGAGATCGGACAATAAATAAAATTTTAAACGGCTCCTACCGCCGCCAGCCGGCGGCACTTAATTACAATTTTCCGCGCTGGCATTTTCCATTTTCCGACCGCCGCCGGGGGCATTATGTCACTGCACTCACTCACCCCGATGCCTCCCTCCTCTGTTCCCAGGTCAGCGATAAATTCCTGGACGCCTACAAGGTGGGCGTTATTTATTGGCCCTGCGTGCAGACGGTGAACTTCGCCTTCGTGCCGGCGCGAAACCAGGTCGTGTTTACCTCCTTCTTCAGCATGTGCTGGACCACCTTCCTGGCCTACGTCAAGTTCCTGCAGCTGCATCCCCCCGTGGATGTGGACCACCACGCCCTGGACATCCACTTCCTGGAGATGTGATTCTGGGTCGGACCCGCCACTAGTTGCCCCGAAATGCGATGGCACCGAAAGCACGCCCTTGGCCGGAGCTAATGACATGTCATTTCTTTTGTATATATTTATTATTATTTATTTTTTCCTGATAAATAAGTTTAGATAAGTTGGTAGTTGGTGCTTTTCTCAGCACTGAATTGCAGTTGGGCGTTTAGAAATAAAAACGGGGGACGACTCTTGACAGTTCGAGAGATCTTCAAAACATGCGCATCAATTATTTCACATCAAATATTTTTGAATGTTAGTTACAATACAATTTACTGAAAACTACTGGCATACGTATAGAAATACTAGGCGAAAGTGTTTGCCCCGTGAGACACAGTGACGTGCATACATTTGACACCAGTTGACCTCCATCAGCATTTGTTAAAATTAATATTTATTATCTGAGGTCTCTTTTGGCCGAGGGAATTGTGGCTCATTCAAATGCATACGTTTCATCTGTGCATACTAAATGCACGAAGGTACGTATGTATATACTCGTATTGTGTATCTGTGGGTTCGTTGAAGTGGAACCGCTAAGTGGTTGTGATGAATGCTAGAACTGAATGCATAACTGAATGCCGATTTAGATTATTCTGAACCAGAAACATCATCGGCGAAGTGCGGTCTGCACTCAAATATTCGCATTCGGAATTGGACAAAACTGCAGGGAACAGAACGCAGACGATGACGATGCCATAATCAGGGGAATTAATATGGAAATATATGCAGAGCAAAACAAAACCGCAAAAGTAAACGCAGAACACCAAACTCAACCCACGGAATCCGATTGCATGTAAGCTATTTTATCAGTTGGGGAAAACGTGGCAAACTTCGTGGCCAAAAGGGGTGTTTGTGCTGCACAGAGAAAATATAAGCAACGTACATCTCACATTTTGTATTTATTCAGATATATTGAAATACGCTGCTGTATTTTATTTTTATACCCGCTACCTGCGGTGAAAAGGAAAACTGGAGTCGTTGCAAAGTATAAGTAGTATACGGACGGACATAAGGACGGACATACGGACGGACATACGGACGGACATACGGACGGACATACGGACGGACATACGGACGGATATTCGGACGGAAAGGAATGCCGACAGACAGACGTATACAATAACATACGGTCGGGTGATCCTGATCAAGAATACACATATAGACTTTATAGGCTTGGAAACGCTTTCTTCCATCTGATCAGCACTTTTGGACGAATCTTGATACTTTTTATTCTTGGAGTAACGAGTAACTGACCAAATTAAGTTGTATTTCAACTGTATCAGGGAAGGTTTTATGCCGCTTCATAAGGATTATTTGTATACTACCCTTACATGGCAATACTTAAGAATACATACATTCAGCCGGTATATCTAAAAAGCCAGTTGAGAACAATGTTGCAAAACTCAATTGTCGAACTCTTTGTTTTCTGTGTATCCCAACTGGGCAAAAGCAATTGAAAGGAGAGTTTCATTTAATTCTGCGTCGGCTGGCAGGCCAATCCGCCCAGGGCCCATTTCTCAGTGTCTTGGCGGGTCTTACATTGCTGTTTTATAGCGCATTAATTTCGAAAGTAGCGCTACGTGTGCCAAAAATCATTAGCAACGGAATTACGCTCAATGAAATGCAGTCGGCGTCGCCGCCATACAAACGCCGTCCGAGGGGAGGCAATACAGCGTGGCCAGGCCAGACCCAAACCAAGCCGTCCTCCGTCCTCCGTCGATTTCGGTGGCGATGTTGAAGTCGATCCCGGAACAGGGAAACCCAGAATGGTTCGGGGGTGGGTCTGGGAATGGGCGGAGGGGAAAGTCGACAGCCTCTAACGACACGCTAAATGCTGAATACGAAATGCTTTAAACGGAAGACTTCCCATTCCAAGTCCCTCGGATACATTTGAATACAAGTCGCTGAATCTGCCGTCGAGATGATGGATGGGCTTGGTGGGCTTCATACTCGAATTCAAGTACATGGGAACTGATTAAACCCATATTTGGAGGACACAGTAAAATCTTGAACGAAATATGTAGCTTTTTCAATCAATCCTTTTTGTACTGGCAATACCAGTCATTTCTTAATTTAATGTACTTATTGGCACAGATAGGTAAACTAGAATGTACAATATTCGATCTAATTAGTGGAACTCAACTATAAAAAAATACGATATCAAACCAAATATTCTGATATTTCTGAATTTAATGCGTTAATGGCAACTTGAATGTATAATTATTCGATTTAATTAGCAACTAGAATTACGACAGCAACCCCTTCAATGCCCCTACGTTTGGAAAACAGTGCACATACCGCTTATCCGACTTTAGTTCGTATCAATGGCAATCTTATCACTGGGGAATAAACCATTATCAGATAATAGGCGGAACTAATTCGCCTAATGAAATTATGCAAATGGCAGTCAGTTTAATTTCGACACGGCAGGTGCGAGCACTCCAGATTGCTGAAAACATACACCCATAGTATGTTCAAGTCCAAGTCCTTTGATTTGGTTATTGAGGAAAAGACAAAGAAACCGGAACGGCTGTACCAGCCGCGTCGAATGCGATGGCTAAAATATATCATCCTGCCGGCCGTTTTCTCATTTGCCCTTCTGCTGATCCTGGTCAATGTGGACTTCTCCGATAACAATGAGGATTCGACGCATCTGGGAAATAGATGTGACACATCGCTCCTCATATCTAACTATGGACTCGAAAATAACACACTTTCCCAGAGCTTTTTCGCCGAAAGAGTTGCATTGCAAAGCCTTTTCAGCGAGAATGGCACTATGATTCACATCAACGATATGGTTTTTAATCAGGAAAGCACGATGAACATAACAAGCCTGCAGCTCATAAATGTGCAGTTGGAAAATTTAACTGACTCTGCCCTCCAAGGCCTTCAAAAGCTTCAGAACTTTACTCTAGTCAATGAAAGTAATCACCTTAGGCCATTGGGATTCCTCTCAGCTGTGGCTGAATCGCTAATCAGTGCGGAAGTACACCAGTCATTAGCCGCAAAAATAACGAATTCAGTGTGCGACTTGTTGGGATCCCTGAATTTCACCCAGTTGAAATATTCAGATCTGAGTGGGACACACTTAGAGAAAGAGTCCTTTGACAATCTGCCCGCCTTGGAACAGCTAATTCTGAAAAACTGCGGGTTGGACCACATCGAGCGGGAAATCCTGAAACCAAGACATAAATCGTTGCGTCATTTGGACTTGGGTGGAGCTCGGCAGAAACACAACTATGAATATCAGTTGGACGAAGCCGGGTATTCTTCTGAGTCAACGACAAGTGCTGAGGATATATATACTATCGCGGCTGAACGAGCGATGGCTCCAGAATTAGTGGGCACCACTACACCACTATCTACGTCCATAGGAACTTTATCACCATCAACCTCAACAGCGAGTATATCAACAACCACCGCATCCGAATCGACGGTATCAACAACACCATCGTCAAAATGCGAAGAGGAACTTTGCCAGGACCTAGTATGCTCGAGAATTTCAACCGATTCGGTTGCATCTGCAGATCCAGGAAGTTCTGCGTGCCAGGACGGCTTACTGGTGGAGATCTGCGAGTCGGATTGCACCACACCCACATTTTTCTGTGTCATATTGGGCGAGAGCTTTACCTTCCCATCCAACTGTTGTTCCCATCAGAGCATGAGATGTGTGGTAGAGACCACACAGGTCTCCTGGTTCGAGGACCACGGCGGACTGGTCATTGGACTGGGAGTGGGTCTGCTCTTGCTCGGCAGCTTCCTCGGGATGCTCATCGTGTTTGGAACCCTGCGCCTGAAGCCCTCCTGGTTGGGCGGCAGTGGGCGGCGTGAGTCGAGCACGAAGGGGCTGATTCAAGGAAGATTCGAAAAGGACCCGTATGTGCAAGTGGAGTACGTATTTTATAGAGCCCACATTTATTATCCTTAATCCCAATCATTATTTCGCCTGAAATTGCGTTCCCTTTGAGGGGAATGACCAATCAACATGTCTAATCTTTTACAAGTAGCCCTTTAGTCCTTTCCAAAATTCTAACTTGTGCAAATTTTGAAACTAGTTTTAAAAACCACTCATCTCTTCCTCTTCCCCAGTGGTGCGATTGCGACTATCGACAATAACGAATATGTCACAGCCTATCACCGCTACCTGGAGCAGGCGAACCACAGCCCCACGGAGTCGAACAAGTACATTTGCCCACCCAGGGATAGGGCTCCGTCTGTTCCGCCCTCCAGCGATTATCCCTTGCCACTTCCGGCAAGGAATTGCAACGTGTACGAGAGCTGCGAGCTGTACGAGGAACTTCCGTAGCAGTACTTTCTTCACCGATGCTTACATCCCTTTTACTTTGAAGAAATTGTGGGAACATAGTCCTCTAAATCAATGAATGCTTATGAATTGAATTATGCTTACAGCTGAAATACAACTACAATCACTGCTGGAGCTATACCAAATTACATCCAAAAAAAATTCAAAAAAAAAAAAAAAAAAAAAAAAATTCAACTGAGTTTGAGAGCATGAGCTATGAGATCTGCGGCATGATGACACACCCAATTATACTTGTTTGTTCTGCTCCGCATCTTGTTGCAGCACTGGGCCCCTTGTCTGGATTCTGCTGAAGTTCACATTGGAGCACAGTTCAATGCTTTTATTTAGCTTTAATGAGCTCCAGTTGGCGAGGAGGGCGCAAAAACGCCATCTGAATGCGCCCCATTGTGGAAGCAGAGATACACTCGTAGTGCTCAGTTTGTGGACTTGCCACATGCACAATAAAATATTTTTGCAAGCGCTTTTTATGGCTGACATGTCACTTAATACACACACACACACACACACACAGCGCAGAGATCTTTTTTGCGAGCGCTTGCCAATTTATTTGTGCCCCTCGTTTCGGCTTGGATATTTGTTTTTTGGTGCCCTGCAGGCTGTCGCTGCCATAATTTCCCAGGCACATCCCATCCCCGGAACCGAAAGGGAGGCGGGGGGCGGGGGCCCTGTCAAAGTCCGGCCAAGTCTCTCGACCATATGTTGCACACATTATGCTTACTTAACAATTAGAGACGCTCTTGTAATTCCACAAAATTGCTTTGTTCGCCTGGATTTTTTCGCTCCGGGGAGGGGGGCTGAGGTCTGTACTGCAAGCTGTACTATGAGCGGCATACAAGGGGGCATATAAGGGGGAGCAGGCGGAGGGAAGGAAGTGCCGCAGAGTGGCTTTGTGCTCCTGCTTTTCAGAGCTCCTTGGGCACTGAGCTGTGAATCGTTATGAGCTTTAAGTCCGAGGAAAATGCTTTGATATCCAGACTGTTGTGTGTGCGAACCGAAACTAGTTAGGGGTGGGTCAGAGGGGAAGGCGGGAATAGGCTCCGCATTGCCGAAGAAATATTTTCAAAAACTCAGAAAATCGTGCTAGAACCAAGCATAGGCGTTGGTAAGCTTTCAATCCCTTTGGTGCTAAGCCTCTACCCCAAAACAATATCAAATTTAAACAACAATTGAACAAAAAATGCAAATGAAGAATTGAATGAATGCAACAAATGGAAAATAGTCCTGAACAGGCGATACCACGTGGTTTATGGCGTCATGCACGACCCAATTCTCAGATTGCCGATGAAAACAACTTCGTTAAACTACGTTAAATTAGATCATTGTGCGAAAATACCTTTCAAGTTCAGAAAGCTAAATTCCCAGCAGCAGAAGCCCTTCAGAGCCAACCCTGTGCACACTTCACTGGTGGCAGGAAAAAGAGACCTGGATGGCTATCATCTCCAGTGGAAACCCCAGACGAAGTCACAGCCGAGTGCATCTGGACAATCCCACGTGTGGGGAAACGGATCGATACTGTGCGAGTATCTGTCCCGATTGATATTAATGATTTGCCGCAAATGCCATTAGGCCGTTTGTACCTTTCCATCAGGCCGCACATGATAACATGATAACTCAGCGTGAAGAGTGGAAAGAGAGGAAAACAGGGAAAACAGGGAAAACTAGGAAAACTCTCCGATTGCATGACGCAGAGCGAAGGCGTTGCTCCAGACAGATACAGTGTACGAGTATCTACCCTCGCAGGGAAGCCCCGTGACTCGGGCAAGGAAACCAAGGACCTTCTGCTCGTCTCCCATTTTCCATTTCCTTGCCGATAACGAACTCGTAACGTGGCATTTGTTTAATGGATTAAAAATAATAGGCACGAGGGAAGGGCGGAAAAGCAGTTCGGGTGCGGATAAAAATCATAGCACGTTTTGTATGTGCTCGGAAAATGGAAAATGTGCCGTGGCGTGTCATAAATTAATTTTTGTAAATTCTGCAGGCTGTCTGATTCGGTTACGGATCGCTATCGGCTTAAGCCGGGCTCGAGACTGGGATTTTGATTAATAATAATAATGCCACACGGCTTTGATGGGCAGACAAAGGAGCTCCTCGGACGGAAACCACTTTCATTTCGCGGCCCACAAGGGTTGAAAGCCTTTCAACTACGTTCGGCGGGCGGAGAAGCTTTTAAAAAATTATGCAAAAATCATGATTAGGCAATTTCCCAATGCGATGCTGGAGTCGGTTTTGTCTCCCAGCAACTAATTAGCCATTCATGGAGTGTGGTCTGTCTGCCCGGGGAATGTTTAAGCAGTTGGATGGTTCCCAGAAACGGCGACGAAGTTTAATTAGTCCGACGAACGAATGCGCCCTATGAATATGAACTGCGCACACAAATCTATTCAGCCCCGATCAGGCTCACTCGCACTCGTATCCTTGAGATACCAGCTCAGCTCGGCTCGACTGGATTGGGTTGAGTTGATTTGAGTCGCGACTAATGAGCCCGAGCAGAAACAGCACACAAAATGTAGCAGTTATGGGGCGGGACGGGAAAAACTGGCATTAATGACAAAGGCCAGAAAAGTACTCGGCGCATGGGGACGGGCTGCTTAAGACCCGCAACAAACGAGGTGCACTAAAAAGATGAAACATAAAACGGAGCCCCAGAAGCCCGTAAAAAACACATTGTGCCGGGCCGCACTTGAAAGGCAACTTCTTGCTCGCTCGCCTTGCGCCTCCACTGAGAGAAACCTGCAATGACTTATCATTGTCTTCGATATCAAAACTTCGATATCAACATTTGTGACAATCTACAATATGGGCAAGAAGTAATAAAATGAAACGACTTCGACAAACGATTCAACGTTGCCTGTGAAACAAACTTCTGCTATCTATATGTTGTAATACCCTAGATCTCAACGTTCATACGGATTTTATTTTAGCATTAAGCTCTTTTTACAAAAAATGTGACTGTTAGTTATGGATTTTTACGATCTACGTATATATTTAGGCAACAAACCTTCTGAAATACGAACGTGCAACTACATATCTCATATAATACACACCCCCAGCGTGCCCCACAATTTCCCTCAGTGTGGGTTTGTCATATGGGGCATTTGGAAGGGCTGCCATTAAGCTGCACCATAAAATAAAAATTAAACCACTAAACGCAGCAGAACGCGACCGCATTGAGTCCAGACGCAGACTTTCAAGTTTGCCCGCCCCTCCCAGATTGATTTGACTTGAGCTGGCTGACAGTTCGGGAGTCGACTCAAAAGCAGAACCTCACGTACGCAAGGATACGGATAAGGGTGGGGGTGCGTTCGAGTGCCCCTAATGGTATTCAATAATAATACATGCGCATAAAAACCACTTGCGACCCGCCGCCCGAGAGTCGTCAACATTTCAGACATGCCCCGGCTGCGCCTTCAGAATTTAATGTGCTTATAATGCCGCCCGCTGGCTCTTCGCCATAAACAGATGCAGTCCTCACTGCCGGATAATCCCCATGCCCGCCCATCCGCCCATCCGCCCGCCATCCCGCCATCCCGCTCCCAACTCCAATGCGAATCGGATACGCACACACGTAATGGCAGCGCAGCACCCTCGACACATTTTTAACAGCAAATGATGTCAATTTCCATGCCCACCAAGGGCAGCACATTCCCAGATGGATCCGGATGGGCGCTGGGTCGGGGATGCAGAGCGCGCTTTGTTATTCTATCGAAAATTGAACTTAATTGGTGCGTGAAGTGTGCTCGGAGTGGATTCGATGGCCGGGCTGCCAGGCAACTATTGTAGTACGGCTGCAAATTTGTCCCCTACCCACCCACCATGCCTCATTATAATTTGCCAGTCAACAGGCAACTGTAGCGATCAGATGGGATAGGCGTCTCGGGTCGCGGGTCACGAGGGTGAGTCCAAGAGATAGCACGGAAAAGTCCTACTAAATGTTTCCAAAGAAAGCAAGAGAGAACTCTCTAGTCCAGTTTCTCGACTATCAGGTACCTGTTACTAGCTAGTGGGAGTGCAAGCGAGAAACATTATTCGTGACATAACGATACAAGCTGGCAAGAAAAAGAATAAAATCAAAGAAATCCAAACAAAAAAAAACAAAAAACGTTACAAAGCTTTCGACGAATCTAGCTACCCTTTTACCCTGCGAGTAAGGGGTGTGACAAGCTGTTTTACCAGAAATTCACGTTCAATAATACATTATAAAGTCTGGCAGTAAAACTTTGTAATAAAACGACGGAGCGTTTTGCAATTTAATATCTATCTTATCTAGCGTGGCGAATCGTTCTTTGTTGCCTGCATGCTGCGCTCCTATTTTAGTAATTGCGCTGCACCGGAACCGGAAGTTAATGCCACACAAACCCAACCCCTTCGCCCGTAGGTAAGCCGTCTGTGGGCGTCTGGGTAATCTCATCAGGCCCGACAATCAAATTAATTTGCCATGCCCCAGTTTACCACGAAATGGCCGAGCAACCCTCGTGGCCAAAATCCAGAAGGACTGACATTCAAGGCTTGGAGCTCTAGGGCATCGAAGCTGATTAGCATAAATTCGTCTATGTCGTCGCTGGCAACGTTGTCGTCTTTTGTCAACGTGTCTGGCATGCCAAGCTGGGAAACTGGCAAAGTTTTCCGCAAGGTGAGGGAAACTCAAACAAGCTACGAAAGGAAAGCAGCAGAGGCAGGATCAGTCACGGACCTCGGCTGGGAAACATGTGTCACTGGGGCCTGTCTGCTTATTGCACGACTAATGTCACTCGCAGGCGGCCTCCGCCTGCCAACAAAAGGTGGCCATGGCAAACTTCCTGGCGCAAGGACTGCCTTTTCAGGCGGCAAATGCAAGTGCTGGCATTCCTCGGCCTCTCCGGGAATGCGAAATTATTTCCGAGCCACTGAGCCATTGTTTCCAAGAAGTTTTCCGTCTTGAGCCGCATGCCTCCACTGAAAACAATTCAATTGCAATTTCAATAACAGCTGACGATCCCTTGTGTAACACTGCATCGCAAATTGTCGTTTGTTGCAAATTTCTCTGTTTACATAACGTACAGCTCAAGAAAACGTTCCATAAAATTACACCAATAATCCTAGTTCGGTCTTCGGTTATCGTGTACATACCTT